TCTAGTGGGCTGGATTGGCAACTTCAAATTTCTGTTTCTCAAATGTCACACACAGTTACTAAAATAAGACCACAAAATATGTACTACTATATATTTAGAAATTTATCACTAAATGACCAAATGCAAAAAAGTAAATAAATGCTATCTTTTTATAGAAGTAAAGCAGGTGCCAAAATGTATTTATAGGAACATTTTTAGCTATTTTTGCAAATAGAAATTTAGTGAAATAAACTTACTGTGAAAGGACTTGAAATGTGACATTTTACACTATTTTGGACTTGACTTTCTTCTTGTTGGTTTTTTTTTTTTTTTTTTTTTTCCGTATCCTTACATCTATTTTGGTTGGTATACAGCCAGGTCTGATTAAGCAAGTCCCACCTTTGAGTTTCCTAAAAGAGACAGCCCAGGTCCTCAGCGCCGCCCGGATAAGGGCTCCGTTCCATCTTTGGCTGGGGTCCAGTTCCAGTTCCATTGACCCAAAATCTTTTATTGCAGGAGGAAGTCCCGAGCAAAGGCTGCTGCTGGCTGTGGAGATCGCCCGTGTCTACCACAGGGTTAATTTACATGTCTCTCTTCCGTGACACACTCTGTTGCCAAGCCTGTGGGGACACTGGAACCCCCCCCCGCCACTGCTGATAGAAATGCAAACTGGAACATCACTTGTGAAGCAGACTTTGTCAATACCTAACGTAACCGTGTGTGTTCAGTTTCCGACACAGTGATCGCACTTGTAGACAGCTGTCCAAGAACAGGTGGCTCATGGTGAAACTGTTTACAATCACGGCCCAAATGTGCAAACATAAGAGATTATTAAATGATGGTACATCTAACAGTGGAGTACTATGCACTTATAAAAAATGAACACAGGCGATCTCTATAAAGTGATACGGTCTAATTTCCAAAATGAATTCTTTTTTTTTTTTTAACTAAATCCCTGGCCCTCCTTCTTCTTTCTTTCTCTGTCCTTCCCCCTCTTTCCCTCCCTCCCTCTCTCTTCTTTTTTCTTTCTTCCTCTCTCTCTCCCTCCCCGTCTTTCCATCCTACTTACCTGCTAGGAACGGAACCCCACCCCTCGTGCCGCCAAGCAAGCGCGCTCCCACTGAGCTCCGCCCCACCCTCAGATGTTCTTACACAAGAAAATGAAAGCGTGACTTTGAAAAGCGCTGTCAGCGACCTTTCTCAAAATGTGGTCCACACAACTCTGAGTCCCCTGAGACACACGGGGTGGCCTGCGAGGTCAAACCTCTTTCCTGACTGACCCTAAGACCGCTGTTGCACTGTGCGGACCCTTGCATTGGCGGTACAAAAGCGGTGCAGCGTGAAATGCTAGCTTCTTCCCAAGGCAAGGCCATGGCAAATACTCAACTCTGCCAAACACGGTCAGCAAAAAGAGACGACAGATTCACTCAAGGATTATTGATAAAGCGATTTCATCAGACCTTGACCCAGAGTACATATCTTTTTATTACGTAGCCCAGGCCGGCCTTACACTCAAAATCCTCCTGCCTCAGCCTACTGCCTGGAGGAATTATCGGCACATGCCAGCCAACAGGAAGCTGTGCAGACTAGGATGGCTACCGTGGGGAAAAGTATTCCTGCTATTGTCTGAATTGCAAGCTGCAATTCTGCTTTTCATGATGTGCCATTTTTACTCGAAACCGATAGACCAACATAGCACTTGACAGTTCTTTTCTCAACTGTGAGCGAAGTAAGACTGGCACTCTAAGCAAAACAACTCTTGTTAGTGGACAAAATCAAACTTTAAAATAACTTTGGATTAAATTTAAATCTAATTTGGGGAAAGGTCCACTCACCAAGGCGGGCTCTACAGCTCCCCGATACCTTGAGATGATACTACAGCAAGTTCTGGGGCCGCGTGAGGAGGTCGCCTTTGGGAAGTTCTGGACTGGGGGAGCCTTTATTTCCTGTCGCATCATAAAGGCACCGGTTAAGCAGCGCGATCAAAGATCAAACCGTGAGGCAGATCAAGGCATTGGGAGCGACTGTAAGAAGATTCATCGGGTGGTTTCAGAAGCTGCACTCTACCAGCTTTTAGGAAAGAGTTTCAGGGCTGGATCGAGGAAGACCCTAGGCCGTTACCGACGAGGCTGCCAAGACGCCTCTCCTGTTGCAGCTGCTGCCGGGGTTTTTCTACCAAAACATTTCAACAAGTTACCTACAGAAGCAGAGGGGAGCGTCCCACTGTCTTCTGTTGAGCCAGACGTCACGGAAGGGCAGAGAGGGGGTTGCTTCCCCGTGCTGAGTGCGATCTCTGTGCACAGCAAACATCCTCACCTAAATAAAGATGAAAGGAAAAACCCAAATATATGAAACAGCGGCACCTTTTCCCATATTCTTGTCTAAGAACTAAGTGAACTATGTAACATATGCTTACATCTTTCACTCTATTTTCAACTGAATTAATGAATCCTTTTATGATTTCTCGTTTCAAATTCTAACTCAGCGACACCGCCAATTATTCAGATTTTCCCTGACTTCGTGGGAAGAGGCATTAGAGTTACTGATCTCTCGGTGCTGTATAAAAAAATGCATATTTCTGCTTTTTGGTTCTCAAAAAGAAACACGAGAGGGAAACCCCAGAAGCCCACGCTCCTGGGTACTGGGTGGGGTTACTGGCCTGCCAAGCAGCACCAGGGGCCCAACTCTGCCTGGGACAACTTTTCCTTTAGAATAGACTTTAAGATTGCACATAGAAAAGGAATGATGAGCCCAGAACCTCAGCACTCAGGAGGCTGAGGCAGGAGGGTCGCTGCCACTTCCAGGACAGCTCGGGCTACATAGTAAGTTTAAGGCCATCGTAGACTACACAGAGAGACCTTGTCTCAAAAAATGAAACAAACAAGAAACAAAACAAAACAAAAAAGGACAATGCTAAAAATCAGAAAAACACAGGGGACTGTAAAATAAAACAGACGCAAACCTAAATGCATTTCAAAAGAATAATAGTTGAAGAGCAGGGCAGATCGAACTCAAGTAACTTTTTAATTTTTTAACCAGGGATTGAACGCGGGGCCTTGTGCTTGCACGACAAGTGGTGGAACCACTGAACTAAATAAATCCCCAGCCCTCAAGTAACTTTTGAACACCATATTTTGACCTTATGTCCTCAGACTAAAGGAAAAAGAGCATCTAATTATCGCTGGGAGGGCTGTTCTTTGCCGTGGCCTGGCTGCGGCAGTCCAGGATTGAGCAAGAAGAAAAGCCGTTGTGGCCGTGGTCCAGGGAAAGCAGCTCGCTGTTGGAAAGGAAGGCACACGTCTGAGCAGCGGGGAACGGCGTCAGTCCCGGGGCTGAGCTGAAATCGAAGGCGTCAGCACAAGTTCGTGGCTCCCGGCATAAGAGGGTGTGCGTGTGCGTGTGCGTGTGTGTGCGTGTGCGTGTGCCTGTGTGTGTGCACGGCCCTACCTTTGTCTGCTCAGAAAAGCAGAAGCAGTGCACACACCAGTTTCCCACTGAAGAGCAGAGAAATGACCAGAGACGCTTTGTCGTGTCAGAAAATAAGTAAGCCCTCCGAGAGTGATGGAGGGTGAGTCAACAGGATAAAGGTCCCAGACTAGGACCTCCCGCTGGCCAAACATGGGACATGCCGAGCATCCAAATAGATAATAATGGCAATGGATTATAACTCACTGACCGCAGACAAGCCAACAGGCAAACAGAGGAGGAAAAGCTCCTCCTATCGTAGGGTACCCGTAAATGGGTTGTGAAATGACAGCATAAAACTTTGAAGGACAAGACACCAACTTTGTTTCAAAGTGTTTATCAGTAACAAAATAAAAATTAATGTTTGCAGTGAGGAACAGTGGCAGCTACCACCTTAAAAATGTCATCAACGTTAATGTCACCAGCAAGAGAAGAATCACCACTGATGTCAGGTGCCACTTGGTATGTGGTGTGGAAAAGGGTGTAGTGTCTCTTTGTGTGTCTGTGAGTGTGGTACTGGGAACCAAACGCAGGACCTTCACACCGAGCTATGTCCCTTTTTTTGTTCTTATTTTGAGACAGGGTCTTGCTAAGTCTCCAAATTGTTCAGGCTGGGCTTGAAACTTGAGATCCTCCTGCCTCAGCCTTCCAGAGTGCTGAAAGTACAGATGGTGTGCCATCACACCAAGCTCATAGTGTTACTTTTGGGATATATATATGTCGGTGTTACCGTACTTTCAAAAATGTGCAGGTTGTGAATGAGAGGTACAAATTGTTCCAGAGTAAAGGAGGCCGAAGGACAATCCTAGATCGAATCTTAGTCTGAAACTTTTTGTTTTGTTATGAAGAACATCATCTGACAACCATAAAAATACAAATCTGGTCATACATTAGGTAATAGCAATGTTCAGTATTAATTGTCTAATTTTGATAGTTTATTAGTAAAAGGCTGTCCTTATCAGGAAAGCCACAGCGAAGTGCTTAGCAGTCAAAGGACAATGTATTTGCAACTTACATTAAACTGATTTATGGAAAAGAGATCTGTACAATGTAATTTTGTGTGCATGTCCTCGCACCTGTGTATGGAAAATAATGAACCAAATCAGAGAATCTGGTTGTGAAGAGTCTATGGGATTTCTGCTTTTTTTTTTTTTTTTTTTTTTTTCCACGCGATC